TCTCACATTGTCTCACCCCTCCATTATGGTTTTCTCACTTAAGGTGCCCCCATTTCCCCCCTTTCTCCCTTACCCTTCTCCTATGGTCCTACCTCTTTTGAGCTCCTTCTTTCTCTTTATCCCCTAGGTTCCTTGTATACCCTTCCCTCCCCTCTCCCTTAAACTAGCCCACTTTTTATCTGTATCTCCCTTATTAAGGCCTGTTTCCTACTGTTCTTCTCTTTCAGGATCTTTCTTTTCCTTTACCTCCCTGTATCCTTTCCATTATCCTGGTTCCTGTAGTTATGTCTGGATACATACTCACCCAGATTTGGTTCTAAGATCCACATATGAGGGAGAACATATGTCGAATTTTCTCCGAGTCTGTGTTACTTCACGTAGTATATTTTCTAGTTTCATCCATTTACCTGCAAATTTCATGATTTCATCTTTCTTTACTGCTGAGTAAAACTCCATCATATAAATGAACCACATTTTCATTATCCACTCATCAATTGAGGGACACTTAGGTTGCTTCCATCTCTTAGCTATTGTGAAAAGAGCAGCAACAAACATGGATGTACAAGTGTCTCTCCAATAGGATGAGTTCTTTGGGTATATGCCAAGGAGTGGTATAACTGGGTCAAATGGTAGGTTCATTTGTATTTTTTTTTTTTTTAGAAAATAAGTGGTATTTAATAATAATATACATTCACAATGTTAGATATTAAACCAGGGTACACCAGGAGTCCAAAGTTGTAGGAAAATATAGCTTATAGTAATGAAAACAATCAGTAAAACCTTCTCCAAACTGACAGAGATGTCAGAAGTTGCAAGACTCTGTATGTGATTCAGATTAAAAAACAAATTGCATTTCTAAACACATCAACAGATAACTAAGAAATAAATTTTGAGAAAATACCTCTTAAATATTAAGTGTTTTTAATACACAGGAAGCAAAATGCTAAATAATACTTAAATATGTATACTGTGTATGATATATTGGGTTATAAAATATACATCAATTAAAAAATTTTATCTTCAATAAAATTTCAAATATATTTGCATGGAACTTGCTAAACTAATTTTAAGCTAAGCAATGTTTTTTTTCAGTTTATTATTTATTTAGTAACCACATGCTTAGAAGAAGCATTTCATTACAACAGCACTGACATATTCAATAACAATTTTCTGAGCTAAGATGCATCTTTTTCAAAATTGGCTGTAAATTTTTAGGTTTACAGTTGAACTGTTACAGTTATACAATATTTTACTCAGTAGAAAGCCTACAAGACATAAAATTAAATGAGGTTTTAACCTTTAAAAAAGATCTCCACTTTGTTGTCAAAACAGACAGTTTCATACAGAAAAATTCATTCCAAGGCAATTGACATTGAGACGTTTTCACATGCATTTCTAATCTCTATATACATGACTATCACTGGTCACAGTCGCCCACCTTCTGAGCTCCTCGGCATCTGAGCATGAATGCAAACTCGTGAGATAGACAACCTTCCTCTCCCACTAGAGCATCCATACTCTGCTATCCCTGCCACTGTCCACTGTGCTGTCAGCACCCCCATCCATTCCCCCCTATCTGCCCTTCTGGTAAATCTAGTCAGCCAGAGGTCCCTGTTCCAGGAAGATCAGCTGTTCCTCATCTACGGCAATCCATTGTCAGTATTCCTTTGGATAGAATTGGGGTCTGCTGTTCATTTTTCCAGTAGTATGTTGGGTTACT